GCGCTCCGCCTCCCGCGGCTCCCGCAGCAGCGCGCCCAGCGCTGCACAGTCCAGCCCGCTCGCCGCCTCCAGTCCCATGGCGGCCACCTAGAGCAGTTTCTTTTCCCCGTCTTCCTTCTGTCCCCCCTCTGTCCCCTCGCTGACCAAGCCGTCTGCTCGCTCCTCCGCAGCGCCGACTTTAAGTACGGTGGGCCGGCCTCCCGGGTCACCATACAAGGGCAGAGCAGGAAGGCGCCAGCACCGCCCCCGCGGCTCACCCCCTCCCCCAACCGCAGCCTCACGTGGGGTGCAGGCTGGGCTAGCCCGGGGACTGGGGGGGGGTGCGCACCCGAGAAAAAGCCTGGGAGGAAACCCAGAGATCAGTTTTCAGAGGTGTTTGCCAGTACCAGGGTGGCCCGAACACCCCGACACACACAGCCTTGCACCCCAGCCTGGAAGAGGGTCCACACCCTTTGTGGGGCTCCATGCTCTCTGCTCAGCCCCGGGGATGCACACCCCCACCCTTAGAGACGTTTAGCTCATTGGTGCCCAGGGCCCTGCTTCTTCCTTGGGCCTTTCCCTTCCAGGATTTACCCCCTAGGAATTTGTTGCCACAAAAATGGCAGTGTGTGTGCTACCACGGGTGTCGCCACACTGGAGGATGGCCAGCCCCGAAGATGGGGCTTTTTCCCTTCTGCTTAGACAAAGGGCAAAGGGACTTTATCACTCTCCTCCCCCATTCGATGACCCTTGGAGCCGGCCAAACTAAGGGAGATATTCGCCCTCCAGGCCCCAGACCCTGGGCATTGGCATGCTGAGACCTCTGGGTCTTTGCAGGGAAAGGCAGAGGGGCTGTGACCCGTTTCCAGCTATGAATGGGACAAGGTTTCTTCCCAGGGAGTCCAGGAAAACCCCAGAGGCTCAGGGTGAAACACTTCCCGGAGTCGCAGATCAGCTCTGAAGGGGAACTCTGCTGACAAGGCTGGGTTCTCCCAGGGGCTGCTGGGAAGTGCAGGAGCCTCCCCGTGAGAAGAGGTAGGAGGTGAGGCCAACTGCTACCACCTCCAAGGCAGGCACCCCACCACAACCCCTCAGCTGCTGGCAGCCTGCAGCAGAGACCCTGGGCTGCCGGGAGCCAGGACTGGCACTTGAGCAGGAAATAGGGGGAACTTGGGTAATCCACATCCCTTCTGCCTTCCCACAGGGCTGCTAGCCGGATGTGGTGAACCCAAGTGTGCAGGGGGGCTCTGGGCCCCAGGGTGGGGGCAAGGTGTATTAGTAGCTGAACTCAGAAGCAACCAATTCAGGTGGGTGGGGACAGTGTTCTAGAGCTGGAACTGTCCCCACCCCCACCCCTAGCTGCTTGGGATTTTCAGACTGCCTCCGCCTAGGCCCCATGAGACAAGCTACAGGTCCCTGGGGAACATTTCTGCTCCCCTGCTCGCCCCTGGGGCCAGAAGGTTGTGGAGGGCTGGAGTGAGGCCCTGAGTAGACTGTCAGCCCTTCAGTGGCCTGAAAACTCCAAACTCCCCAAGTTGTGTTGATATATCTGAGCATGTTGGAGCTCTAGTTAAGCTGGAACTAGTAGCTAAGTGTGCTGTGAGGGAGAGGGGAGCCACAAGAGAGACGCCCCGAGGTCTCTAACAATGCCTTGGGCCAAACTACTCCCTCCCGCCTCGGTGTCCCCACCTGTGAAATGGGTGCTCATTGTAGACTAGCTGTTCACCCACACTGGTCCCAGGCGGCCTCCACCACTGCCCGCGCATCTGATTGCTGTCCCCCCACCAGGCCAGTCTGGAGGCTGATGTGGCAAAGCCCACAAGAGAGCCAGGCAGTCTGGGCCACAGATCCCAGAGGCTGATATGGGCCCTTATCCTTGGCATCAGCCTAGCAAATGACTTAATGGCTGATTCCAGGGACAAATTACAGAGCTTGAAAAAGGATAGTCAGGTCCAGTCTTGTTGATCTGTGGTGCTGGCGTCACCTGTCATGCTGGGAGCTCCTTGGGGAGGAGGCGAGAGGACCCAGTCAGCTGGGACCCTCACTCAGGAGCAAAACTCAGATTGGGAGAAGGGGCTCTGGACTCCAGCTCCACTGGCCAAGCCTCTCCCTGTCCGTGGGGAGAAAGCAAGCACCGGCTGACAGTGGGCACTCCCGGGGGGAGGGGCGTTGCACTGCCCATGTTTGCTTTAGTGGCACAGGTCTGGGGGCCCTCCCGGCACTCTGGCCGAGCCAGAGATTTCTGCTGGAAGGAGGCTGCGGGTATGTCACCGCTCAGGGCCCTGTTAGGGCTACCCCCTCTTCAGCCTGGGGACAGATTCAGAAAGGCCTGCCTTAGCCCTAAAGGAGGGGCACCCCTTGGCACTTTGCCCCCCTCTAATCCCAGGCAGGGGAAACCCCCACTTGTATAACTTAGTGAAAGGCAGAGACTGGGGCAAGAAGAGAGAGGGAAGAGGACACAAAACCCGTCCCACCCCACTTCTGACCTTTGGAGCTCCCTATCTTTTTCTGCTCACCCAGCCCCCATGCAAAGCAGCTTCCCTTCCACATTCTCGAACTTCCAAGCGTTGCACTGATGCTGCCAAACATCAAACATCTCATTTTCCTTCCTCCTCCTTTCAGACCCACACCCTGGACAGATGCCCCAGGGACTGGGGAAGAAATGAATAGGGTGGCTACAGAAGGATCCTTTGGCTAAGGCAGGTATGAAGGTGAGAGTGACGAGTGTCGGCCACCCCCAGCTCCGCCTGGGCGGTGAGTCAGGATGACGTCAGGTTTCCTGTGCCAGGCCTCTGACGAGCCAGCCTCGGCGGCCACCCCCTCAGGCTCCTGCCAGGCGACAGCAGTGACACCTTGCTCTGTGCAGATGGCCTTGCCCTGCATGGTGGAGAGGACTGGGAGCAGCAGGGAGAGACTCACTTTGGGCATCCAGCCCTCAGCAAGAGGCCTGTGTGTGGCTGGGGGCTGGTGTCTGTCCCCGTGTGTGTATAGACAGCCCTGCTGGGGACACTGTCCTGGACTCAATGAATGTGTCCAGAAGAAAGTCTCCATTTGGGGCTGGTGTAGCTTTAACACCTCTTGAATATTTGTTTTCTGCATTTTCACAGAGATTTGGGGGGTGCCTTCCCCAAGTGTCTATATCCAAGTCACTCAGTCCTTTCCACATTTACCCAATCCCCCCTGAATGCAAAAATACATTTTTGTTATGTGCCTGGTTCTGTTCTGGGTGCTGGGAATTCAGCGATAAATCACAAACACTACCCTCAGGGAGCTGACCTCATTGCTTCAGCAATACTTATTTTTATGACTATGTTGGGTCCATGGCAAGGGATAGCACTTATTCACCTGGCATAATGATATAGTTTCCTTTCAAAATAAATTTTAGGTTTGTAAAACCAAATTGAATGGACCAGATGGTATCTAAAGATGCTAAAAAGTGTGATGCAGGCAGGAGGTGCTGGAGTCGCCGAGGAGATGCTCCCGGCAGCCCTTCAGCTCTGGCACGGTGGGCTTCTGTGGGGTCTAGCCCCCCAGCCTGTCTCCCATTCAGAGCATAGAGGAAGGAGGGAGGCAGCCGTGACCCCGAGCAGGCAAACCAGGGAGTCAGTCCCACTACTGCGAGCCAGTTCCCCTGGTCACTGTCCGCGTGTAACCTGGGCCGTGGCCCCCTCCCTGGACGCTTCCCTTGGACACAGCCACCCAGCACACCTGTGGCCACCAGGGGAGTAAAACCGGTACCATTTCCACCCAGCCGGCCTGAGGCCCAGGGTTAGGCCCAGGTGAGGAGGTGAGGAGACACTAGCCCATCATGCATCCTCACAGGGTTTATCACTGAGCAGGGGTCGGGGGGCAGCCCAGTTGCCAAGGGGTGGCCTGTGTAGCCAGAGCCTGTCCCAGGGACAAAGGGCTTCAAGGGAGGGTGGAGGCGGGTGGGCAGACCCCGCTGCAATTATAGGTCTGCAAGGGAGTGGCTGCACCTGGACTTTGATGGTGGCAAAAGTGTCAGGGGTACAAGGGAGCCCCTCTGACTTCTCAGACCTGAAGTCTCCCCAGCCCTCACTCTGCACTCAGCTCTGGCCACAGAAGAGCCCTGAGTGTGCTCTTGTCCCGCAGCCGCGCCCTCTGTGACCACAGTGTGGAAACATTGCTGAGACTCCCTCAGCCTTTTGCCCAACCATCCCCACTGGTGACAGCTCCTCTTCAGCAACCTCCTCATCCTGCCTCTGCTACCTTCCTTCTGAGGTCGAAGATGCTTCAGGTGTGTGAAGAGAGGGAGCCCAGGGGCAGGCAGCAGGGCTGGTCCTTGCTGGGCTCCCTCGCCAATGAGGGGGTTGAAAGGGCAGCAGGAAGCCCTAGAAGGCTTTGTAAGGGGAGGAAGCTACCGGGCAGAAGCACTGACTCTGACTGTGAGGGAGCAGGAGTGGCCAGCAGGGGCTGCTGCGCTGGCTGGGGGGACGTGACTGACCAGGGTGGCAGTAAAAATGGAGAAGGGGTCCAGAATTGGTGGGGACAGAGCTGACAGGAGACCAGAGTGCACTGAGGCTCCTGTGTGGACTAGGGGAAGGCCAGGTGCGAGTCTTTCTCCCTCCTTCCTAACCTACTTGGGAACCTGCCCCCCAAAGCAGGAGACAGGGGACATCAAGGTTGCTGGTTTCTGCATGTGCTCGTCCCAGCGCAGGGCTCAGGTGTGCCATCTGGAAGAGGGGGGCTGTTTTCCAGCCACCCCAGGCTGGGTAGAACTCACTGTGGGAACCGTGGGCCTCATTCCCACAGGGTTTTTATTTTTTTAAGATTTATTTATGCATACAGAACTGGGGTTCAGGCCAGAGGTGCAGGGGTGGTGAGAAGATTTACCAGAGACAAAGTGGGGAGCAGAACAGGCAGATGGACGAAGTGCACTGCCGAGGGGAGCAGCGGGCGGGTCAGGAGAGGTCTGCCACGCCATGTGGTCACCTCCAGGGCAGGTGAGAATCGAACTCATGCTGAAGTGGCTTTAGATTCTCAGTGCTGTGCTTTAACCCGCTGCGCCACCAGGCAGGGTCCCACAGTTGTTTTTTTTTAACAGTTCACAGGGAAACCAGCCAGCGGGGAGACAGCAACCTGGCCCCCAAGACTCTC